ACCCCGACGTGATTTGAACACGCAACCTTCTGATCTGGAGTCAGACGCGCTACCGTTGCGCCACGAGGTCAGTCGGCCTTACCGGCGCAGTGGTTTCCCCTTGACCACTTTAAGACCAGGAGCCCAAGACCCGGTAATTAAAACCAGGGCTTTCCCGCCCTTCTGAACACCCGCGGGGTAGTACCTGCACTCGTCCACCTGTCCTGTGGTGTGAGCTGGGCGGTCAGGTAGCGGCTTTGCAGGCTCCGGGCCCAGCGGTCTCTTCTACTCGGCCCCCAGCGTCCTGCCGACGACCAAGTGGAGGGTCCTGATATGGTCACCAGGGGGACCCAGAGCCCAGCGGGGACGGAACTGCCCAGAAACGGATGGAAGGACGGATCCCAGACGGAACTGATGGAGCCAGGCCAGAGCCCAGGGCACCTGAGGCGGTGAGAGACTGGCTCCTCCGAGCAATACGTCTCCTCTCAAACTGCACATTACACCGCTTCCAGAGCCGTCAGATGTACCCTCCGAGCTACCTGGTTCGGAGATTCTGACCCGGTATTGAAAACTTGTGACAAAAAATAAGTATTTCAAATTTTTGAGGCATAACTTACGTACAATGAAACGTACTAAACCTAAGTGTATATTTTGATGAATTATGACAACTATATACACCCGTGCAACTCACACTCTTTCAAGATATAGGATCTTTCTATCACCCCAGACAGTTTTCCCATGTCCTTTCTCAATAATCCCCTTGTCAGGCCTTATTCTCCATTCCCATTGCCATCCCCTCGGCCTCTCTTGTGTTGTAACAGACTCATCTTTAAGCTCTCAATTATAATCTGCCTCTCGAATAGTCAAAGAGAATAAACTTTTAAAAATTCCTGCCCTTCCCTTCAGAGACCACCACTGTTCTGATTTCAACCACAGTAATTTTTTTAAAAACCGTTTTGGCATGTAACATCAGTATCCTTCAAAGCTCCTCAGGTGAGATGAAGCTGGGAACGTCTTTTTTTTTTTTTTTTTTTTTGTTGTTGTCTCACTCTGTCACCCAGACTGGAGGGCAGTGGCCGCTCCCGGCCACCGCAGCCTCGACCTGCTGGGCTCCGGCGATCCTTCCGCCTCCGCCTTCCAAGTGGCTGGAACTACAGGCGCGCTGCTACCACGCCCGGCTAATTTTTTTTTATTTATTGTAGAGATGAGGTCTCGCCAAGTTGGCCAGGCGGCTCTCGAACCAATTTACTCACCTCAGTCTCCCAAGCGTGGGATTACAGGCTGAGCCACTGAGCCCGGCTGAAGTTGAGTACTTCTAAAGAGGGATGCTTGGAGCCAGAAGAGACCACATTTGTTGCTCGAAGGCTGAGAGGAGTTCGACAGGCCAAGATGGGCGAAAAGATCATTCTTTCCCTTCTGCGCCAAATGTTTGCACACTCTGCACAGTGGTTCTCTCAAAAGTGATCAGAGACCACAGAGATGTCAGACCACAGACACTTCTCAGGCCTGGCCTTAATTGATTCAGGGTAACATCTTCTCCAAGAGCCTTCTTTTTCCATAGTTATCTTGACACTTGTCTGCTGACCCTCCTTTATTGACTCCCTTTCCCTTAATTCTTTATTTTCCTGTGGGTTCAGTCTTCTGTCCTCATGCTACACATGTTGACTTTAGCTATTACCTGTGTGCTGAGGGCTCCTGAATCTCACTCTTACTTTTAGACTCAGATGTCTGTGCCTGCTGGATACCTCCACTTGACCCTGTCATCCTTCCTTCCAGTCCTTCTGCACCCCCAGTGAGTAGCCAAGCCCAGGCTGAGGGACATATACTTGATTCTCTCCCCCTCACATCCCATTTCTAAGACATCAAATCCAATAATTTCTATTTCCTCAATAATCCTCTTGTCAGGCCTTATTCTCCATTCCCATTGCCATCCCCTCAGCCTCTTTTGTGGGATTGTTGTAACAGACTCATCTTTAAGCTCTCAATTATAATCTCTCAAATAGTCAAAGAGAATAAACTTTTAAAAATACAAACATGAGACTGGGCACGGTGGCTCAAGCCTGTAATCCCAGCACTTTGGGAGGCTGACGCGAGAGGACTGCCTGAGCTCAGGGGTTCGAGACCAGCCTGGGTAACATGGCGAGACCTTGTCTCTACCTTAAATCAAAAAATCAACCGGACTTGGTGGTGCATGCCTGTAGTTCCAGCTACTTGGGAGACTGAGGCAGAAGGATCGCCTAAGCCCAGCAGGTCAAGGCTGCAGTGGCTGTGAGCGTGCTACTGTTAGCCAGGGAGACAGAGGGAGATTTTGACTCAGAAAAAAAAAAAAAAAAAAAAATATATATATACAAACATGAGCTGGGCATGGTGGCTCACACCTATAATCCTAGCAGTTTGGGAGGCCAAGGTGAGAGATTGCCTGAGTCCAGGGGTTCAAGACCAGCCTGGACAACTTGGTGAGACCTCATCTCTACAATAAATCACAAAAACTAGTTGGGCATGGTGGCACACACCTGTGGTTCCAGCTTCTTGGAAGGCTGAGGTAAAAGGATTGCCTAAGCCAAGCAAGTTGAGGCTGCGGTGGCCGTAAGTGTGCCACTGCACTTCAGCCTGGGCAGCAGAGTGAGGCTCCAACTCAAAAACTAAATAAAATGAAACAAAAATACAAACATGATTCCACCACTCATCAGCTTAAAACCAGTGGCCTGTCACCTTCAGGATGAAGTCCTAACTTCTCAGCTGGGCCTCAGAGTCAAGCAATTGAAGGCTACTGTTAAGCATGTGAATTCTGGAACCAGGTTGCCAGGGTTCATATATGGTTTTCCTACTTACCAGCTGTGTAATTGAGGCTAGTTTTTTTGTTTTGTTTTGTTTGAGTCAGAGTCTAGCTAGAGTGCAATGGCTATTCACA